TCGAGTTTTGAGTCTGTAAAACTTTTGAGTGGGCAGAGCCCTGAGTACTCCCTGCAGAAAGGAGATAGTTGACAGTCCAGGGAGAACAAGGCAATTAGTCATCCAGGCAAATTCCTGTAAGTGTGAGAGCTGCATAAAGCAAGAGCTCTCTTTCCCTCCCCAAAGAATAAGAGGTCATGTGCTAAGGAGTATATGGGTCTATCAAAGCCCTGCTTTCTACAGGCCAGACTCAGTTTCCTTGAATTACTTTTTCTTCTAAAATTTAGGAATGATTTTAAATTGAATACTTAAAAAAAATAATATAATGTACATCATGCGACTTTTATCTATTTCTTTCTAGAACTTTCTATATTTGTTTATAGCAATCTATCTAAAAGTATTGTAGTAGCACCCCCTCCTCCACAGAAAATCTTGATAAAGCTTCTCCAGAGACCCCCACTGTAACTGTCCTTAGACTATCAACAAGAATTTCTGCAATAGAGTTTTCAGGAAGGAGATGTATTCCAGAGGCAGTTGTGATAAGAAAGACTAATCCAAGGCCTCCTCAGAGGCATCTGCATTTCAATAGACAATAGTCAGGTCCTGTGGAGCTAGCAGGCCAAAGGATTGGAAGGAGAATTCTCCCTGTCCTGGGCACTGATTCTTTTTTTTTTTTTCTTTATTCTAATTTGTTTTGACAACAGAATGTTTTTCAATTCATAGTACAAATATAGAGCACAATTTTACAATTTTTTGTGTACACAAAGTAGAGTCACACAAATTGTGTCTTCATACATGTATGTAGGGTAATGATGTCCATCTCATTCCACCATCTTTCCTACCCCCATGCCCCCACCTTTCCCCTCCCTTCCCTTTGCCCTATCTAAAGTTCCTCTATTCCTCCCACTCATCCCTACCACACTCATTATGAATCAGAACCCTTATATTGGAAAACATTCAACATTTGGTTTTTTGGGATTTGGCTTATGTCACTTAGCTTGACTTTCTCCAATTCCATCCATTTACCTGCAAATGGCATAATTTTATTCTATTTTAATGCTGAGTAATATTCCATTGTGTATACATACCACAGTTTCTTTATCTATTCATCTATCATCTATCGAAAGGCATCTAGGTTGCTTCCACAGTTTACTATTGTGAATTGAGCTGCTATAAACATTGATGTGGCTGTGTCCCTGTACTATGCTGTTTTTAAGTCCTTTAGGTATAAACCAAGGAGTGGGATAGCTGGGTCAAATGGTGGTTCTTTTCCTAGTTTTCCAAGGAATCTCCATACTGCTTTTGAGATTGGCTGCACTAATTTTCAGTCCCACCAGCAATGCATGAGTGTGACTTTTCCCCCACATCTATCTTCTCAAACACTTATTGTTGTTTGTATTCTTAATAGCTGCCATTCTGAATGAAGTGAGTAGTTTTGGTTTGCATTTCTCTAATTGTTATGAAAGGGTAAAGTTTCTAAGCTGCAAAGCCTGAGTTAAAATATAAAGGACCAGGTATTGTTAAATTCCTCTGCTACGCCCAAAACCTGAAATTCCTGAGGCAGTTAAGACAATGCCTGGAACTGTTGTTTAATAACCTAGGACCCTGTGTAGCCTGAGCATTCAAAGCCCAAACCAATCAGTTTGAATGTGCAACCCACTTAGGAGTGACCAATCACCCCCGCCCAACCTGTTCCCGCCAAAAAATGTACTAATCATGTCTAAGAATTGTTGTTCAATTTTCCCACGCCTCATGATGATTTGTTCTGATGTATGCAGAGCCCCCGCCCTCCCCAAAAAGTGTACTTAAGCACTGCTTAACCTCTGCTCTGGGCTCTGGGCTGCTCTCCCATCTTGAGTGAGCACGGAGCCCCAGCATGCTGGAATGGATCCTCAATAAATCCCCTTCTGCAATTGCATGAGTCAGTCTCTTGGTGGTCTCTTCCTCCAACGTTTTGCTGGACCCTTACAGTTAGAGATGTTGAATACTTTTTCATATGTTTGTTGATTGATTGTATATCCTCTTCTGAAAAGTGTCTGTTCAGTTCCTTGGCCCATTTATTGATTGGGTTTTTTGTTATTTTGGTATTTATCTTTTTGAGTTCTTTATATATCCTAGGAATTAGTGCTCTGATGTATGTATGGTAAAAATTTGCTCCCATTCTGTAGGCTCTCTATTCACCTCACTGTTTCTTGTGCTGAGAAGAAGCTTTTTTAGTTTGAATCCACCCCATTTATTGATCCTTGATTTTAATTCTTAACAGGAACATATCTCAACATTGTAAAAGCTATTTATGCAAAGCCCCAGGCCAACATCATTCTAAATGGAGAAAAATTGAAAGCATTCTCTTTAAAAATTGGAACAAGACATAGATGTCCTCTTTTTACCACTTATATTAACATAGTTCTTGAAACACTGATCAGAGCAATCAGACAGATGAGAGAAATTAAAGGGATAAAGACAGGAAAAGAAGAACTCAAATTAGCACTATTTGCCTATGATATGATTGTGTAACTAGGAGACCCAAAAAATTCCACCAGAAAAATTTTACAACTCATAAATAAATTCAGCAAAGTAGCAGATTACAAAATCAACACCCATAAATCAAAAGCATTTCTGTATATCAATGAAAAATCCTCTGAAAAAGAAATGAGAAAAACTACCCCATTTACAATAGCCTCAAAAAAAATATTTGGGAGTTAACTTAATGAAAGAGGTGAAAAACCTCTATAATGAAATGAAAACTCAGAACACTGAAGAAAGAAATTAAAGAAGAACTTAGAAGATGGAACGATCTCTCTTATTCTTAGATAGGCAGAATTAATATTGTCAAAATGACCATACTACCAAAAGCACTATACAGATTTAATGCAATTCCAATCAAAATCCCAATCACATTCCTCATAGAAATAGAAAAGGCAATCATGAAATTCATCTAGAAAATTAGAGACCCAGAATAGATAAAGCAATCCTTAGCAAGGAGAGTGAAGCAGGTGACATCATTATACCAGACCTTAAACTACAATAGAGAGCAATAGTAACAAAAACAGCATGGTATGGCACCAAAATAGACTTGTAGACCAATGGTACAGAAAAGAGGATACAGAATCAAGCCCATATAATTACAGTCATCTTATATTAGACAAAGGCACCAAAACATATATTGGAGAAAAGATAGCCTCTTCACCATTTATTGAAAACTGGAAATCCATATGAACAAAATGAAATTAAGCCCCTATCTCTCACTATGCACAAAACTCAACTCAAAATGGATCAAGGACCTAGGAATTAAACCAGAGACACTGAGCCTAATAGAAGAAAAAGTAGGCCCAAATCTCCATGATGTTGGATTACGCCCTGACATCCTTATTGGGCACTGAATCTTGATGAGAGTGTCTTTGATTTTGTATCCAGGCCTGAGTTCCACTGCTCTGGAAAAAAAAAAAAAAAAAAAAAAAAAAGCTCTTTTGTGTGGATTTCTGCAGATTGTAAGCCTCTGAGCCCCTCTTCCCCCTCCCCTACACACTGGGTATAAAGTTCTGAAACTTTCTAAATTTGGGATTCAGAGGATCTGATAAACAGTGGCAAAAACCCCCCTTTTAAACCTGGCTGCAGCTAATAATCCTGATTCCTGCTTATCCTTGTTGTCTAGCCTCCTCTGTCCCACAACAGTGTGTGTGCTTATAAATGCTTAATAGCCAACTCTCAAAACAAAAACAAGAAGAGCGTTCACTAAAGCCCATCAATGTAGACTCATTCCATGGTATAAACACTCCCACCATGACTGAGTTCAGCCTATCAGTGTAATGTTCCTCAATACAGAGCTGGGAAAAGAGGCATATAGTCAGCTCGCACCAGCCAGTGCCAACTGGCTCCCATATACCACTGTACATATCTGATTTTATGTCCACTAAATGTGGACAGCAGTTGCTTCTGAGTATTGCGATTTGGAATTTGGATTCCGCTTTGCAGCCTTCTTAAAAGTAACTCTGTGGTTAGTGTAGTTTTGTTCAGTAGTTTTTGTCCAAGATAAAAAGATGTCAAGGGGTTGGGGATGTGATTCAGTGGCAAAGCTCTTGTCTAGCATGTGTAAGGCCCTGGGTTTGTTCCCCACCACTGCAAAACTAAATATATAAATAATAAGTAAATAAAAATCATAACAAAATAAAATGAAAAAGAAGGAAAGCTTCTGAAGAGGGAAAATGTAAAAAAAAAAACACCTGTATTAATTGTGATTGTCTTATTCATTTAGGTATAAAACACTAGAAATTGATGAGAAAAATCAGTGCATGAAGAAATATATTTCTCAAATGTATGTGAATAATTATGCACACATATCTGTCTCAGTATTGACTCTTTCCATATCTATATCAATTATACATAATACCATACATGAAATTTGTAAACTAGGTTAGTTTGGGGAATTTTTTTCATCTATTGCTTAAAGTTTATCTTCCTTGAAATGTCAAAAAGTAGACATTCTCAAAAATATATTAGAGACACTCAGATTAAAATATAAAATAAGGATGCTGTTAAAAATAAAGTTCAATAAATATGCAACTCAGTTCACATATTAGGCAGCCCAAGATGTTCATCCATCACTGACTAATAAAAAAACACACACACAAAATACATGCTTTGTTCTTATCTATTTATCTGAAATATGCCTTTATGTTAATGTCAATTTTAATGGCTATTACTCTGGTCCAATTCTCCAGTTCTCTCAGAATTTGACTCAGGTTATAGAAAGGGGCATCTTACCCCAGATTCTGGGTCTTACTAAATCCTTCCCTCCTTTAACTTTCTTGGATTCTCCTCTTTAATTTTTCAAAATACAGTTGCATAAGGCTCTTTGATTAGGGTTGATGCAAGGGAATTAAGCAATAGCCAGAAAAAAAAACCCTTAAGTTGAATTTTATGATATAACCTTTCCACAAAGTCCCTTACTCATTGCTAACATGAAGAAATCTTTTCTTCAGGGGAAAATTTCTTTAATTTCAACCTGTGGGGACTATACTCACTCTTACTATGTTCTCTTCTTCCAGCAATCCCAGCTGCTCTCTTCCAAAAAGCAACCAAATGTCCTTTTTATCTTCAGCCTTATCTAGGGAAATTCAAATTTATTACTAAGAAAGTTAGCCTATTTTCATGAATCTTCCACAACAGAAAAAAATGCTACCCATACCAAAAATTTATCCAAAGCAACCTAAATAACTAGCAAAGTTTCAAGTTTGTTTGTTTGTTTTGAGACTAGGGATTGAATCTAACTTCCAATTTTTGATCAAAATTTTCTTAGATTATATTTTTAGTTGGACCTACCTTTTCTGAGCCAAGTTCTACATAAAAGGCCACAGAAAATTGTATTATGAACCCTTTAGGGAAACCCTAGGAGTCATAGAAATTTACTTTTGTATGTGTTGGATTTTCTTCCCAGTCAATCAATAATAATGTCAAAAATACAGGATTGTAGTAGAGCAATTCATACAATTTCTAGTGAATCTTAACTATATTTCTAGCAAACTGTATTGGACCACAACTCATATTTTTCAGTGTTCAGAGATGAATGTTAAATCAAGCTCCCACAAGCTAACACATACCCTCAGGGCATAACTCTCACATCAAAATAGTGACATACATCCCTAAAATAATCTTAGCACAAAATCGAATCGCCAGAATGGATTTTCCTGATGGAAACTAATATTCTTCAGATGCTAAAGGTTTTTTTTTTAAATGTTTTATTTCCTTTTTCTTTCACAATTTTTCTTAAATGTTTTTGGGAAATTGATTGATTTGAAAAATTTTTAATAATTTTATTATTATTAAATATGTATATTAAATTTTAACAGTAGTTCATTATCAAGAAGATATATTTTGTCTTCCCACATGATACATAAGTCTTTATCAAACTCTATGCTATCTTATATTGTTTATATTAAAGTCAGTCTCTACTAACAACCATTTCTTTAAAATTTATCCTGCATAAGCAATAAACTCTTCTGAAACATCTTTATTAAGATGATTTCATTTTTGAAGAATAGTATACAGGACCTTTTCAGCATTGTAGCCTGTGAGCAGGAAAGTCTGGTATTGGGAACTTCCTGAGGCAATCCCATAGGGTAAGATCACCCAAATACATGTGATCCCCTAAATCCCCCTTAGCTCTGCTCAAAAAGGTCCTACACAGCAGTGGAGATAGGATGACCTGCTGCAGCCACACAGCCTCTCAGAGATGGGTGTGACCTACCAAGATGCCAACCACCTGCTGACTGCAAGACATCCTGAAGCAAGACTCCACTCCTGAACCTTACCCCTGCCTTTGATATACACCCTTAAATAAGCCACAGGAGCCATTTTCTAATTGTCCAGCTCCAGCTCCTGTGTGGGCTGAACCTATCAGATGCTTCATTCTTTAAAACTATAATTCTAACTCTGTCTTTTGTCCTTTACTAATTATTTCAGACTTTAAGTTCTCCGGAGGCTTATTCCTCTGAGCAGGCAAGAGTTCCCTGACCAGGTGCTGACTATCCTGCAATATAAGTGAGTAGGTCACCTAAAACATTTGAATGAATCTAAATAGTTCCTGAAAATATCATTATCAAAGGTAAAACTAAGTTTAATGACAATCCATGGGTTTTAAAAATGCTTGTGTAATTTTTGATCTCGTAATTTAATTGTTCAAATTCTTTGAGGAATATTTGAACTTCTAAGTACCTAAATTCTTCTCAGTTTTATCCTTCCTACTTTCCAGTCTCATCACCATGCAGCCTCAGCCATGTTGAAGTTTTGCAGTTGCCCAGCTATGACATGCTGTTTTCTGTTATTTTGTGGAGTTTAGATAAGAGTACACAAAGACAAAATCTTTATAAACCACAATGAACAGGATAAAATTTATTCTAATAAAGTATTTTAGGCTAGGGAAAAAATTATGTGCTCTAAATATGCTTAAAGGATTTAAAAAATGATGTATGTAAAATGGATCGGGCAGAGAAGGTGGATAAAACTAAAAGCAGGAAAGTCATTAAGAACTTATTCTAGTTGTTTATAAAGAAGATGCTGATGGCTTAGATTAGGTGACAGCAGTACAAAATAGAAAGGTGGATTGGTGATCTTTGGTAGTGGTGGTACTAACTTCATTTGCCAACAATACATTGGAGATTAGTTGAGTAAAAAGGGATAAAGAAAGCAAACTGCTAAGTTTGGCTTCGGGACTGAATGGAATATAACAACTTATCTAAATTAGAAAGTCTGTTATGTTTTAGATATATTAAATATAAGGTGTCTTTTAGAAGGCTGAGTAGATATATAATAGAGCTTGGCTTTATGAGCTGAGAGCTTGGGGAAGATAAAAAGTTTGATGAGATCAATTGAGGCATTATTAGCACTATTAAACATTGGAAGTATTTTAAGCTATAGAATCAGATGACACAGTATTTGGGAATAAGGTGTATAAGATGAAGATAGTTCTAGACTCAAGCTCAGTGTTCTCTAATATTTTAGAGGTTAGGAATAGGATGTTGAATCAGCAAAGAAGATTGAAAAATGGAAGTTAGTAAAGTAATAAAATGAAAAGAGAATCTGTTGTTAATGAAACCAATAAATTATTTCAAAAAGAAGAGTGTAGTCAATTATGTCAAATACTGAAATGTAGCTAAGATATTAAGTAAGAGAATACCAAAGAAGTGTCATTGGGTTTAGCAAAGCAAAAATTCTCCATGAGCTAGACAAGATGATCTTTGCCAGAATGGGTAAGAAGAATGCCTGTTTGGGATGACTCAGAGGAGAGGCACTTGTCCCACCTGATTTTTTTCACTGGGTGGGACATTTCCAATCCTTATGCTGAGCTTCTTCTATTCTATGCATACACCTGTTTTGGAAGAGATTATTTCAATCCTGACTCCATGCTGTTTCATGGGACATGTGCATCTCTTTGAAGTTGTGGTAGGAGTACAGTCACTCTCCAAACCTAATCATCTACTTTGCCACCATAGTCAGTGTCAGCCAGTCTCTTGCCCAACAAGTCAGTTGAAAGATAAAGCATCAAATTCACAGTGTCCTTAAAACCACACCCATACCCAATCCACATCCTGAATAGGCCTGAAGTTAGGAGGAATTTATTTCCTTGTCCCTGGCCTATGAAATGTGTGTGTGCACATAGTAGTGGGAAGGAAGAACAGTGCCATAGTCCTGAACTGATTTTCTCCAACAAAACTTTCTTTCCAATCGTTCACGGTACTCTTAACCTCTCTAGAATTTTCCAGAGTTAGGTAGTGGGAGGTGAACCAAGAATTACTCCATCAATTATGAGCCATTCCTTTATATGTCCTGATTAGACGGTGTATCAGTGAGCATTCAGTCAGGAAGGGAGAACAATAATGATATTGGAATTATACTTTATACCAGAGGTCAACACTTTCTTTTCTGTAAAGAACCAGTTAGTAAATATTTGGAGGCTTTTGAGGCCAAAGTTCTCTGTCACAGCTGCCCAACTCTGCTATATGGCCAGAGGCAGCCATAGACAACACATCAATAATTTTCATGATTGTGTTCTTAAACCTTTATTAAAAAAGAAAAATCAGGCAGCAGGCTGTAGATATTTTGCCTATCTCTGCTTTTCACGAGAGTAGGAGTTGATGGAGAAGTGGATTCCCAGAGGGGAGTGTTAGAGATCACAGAATAAGCAGTCTTCCCTGCAGCAGTGGTTCAGAGGACAACTCCAAGTGGGCAGTGACATCCAGGAAGGCAAGAAGATGACCTTCCTTATAGGGAGGGTACAAAGGAAGTTGTGGAGAGGTCTATGGAAAGACGTCTCTGTGCAGCTATGACCCCTGTGGGTGTGGCTCAGGTGACCACTACTAGTCTTCCAGTTCACCAACTGGGAAGAAAGCTTGGTGTGGAACAGAGGAAAGTGAGAAGAAGTTGTTTGTCTCTTTGTTACTGCCTCTTAACCTCAGGTCCTTCCAAAAGTAATGGCCACTGCTTCCTTTTTTAAAAACTATTTTTTTTTTTTTTAGTTGTTGATGGAACTTTATTGTTTATTTGTTTATATATGGTGCTGAAAATTGAACCCAGGGCCTCACACATGCTAGGCAAGTGCTTTACCACTGAGCTACAACCCCAGCCCCACTGCTTCCTTTTAATCTCCTAATACCATGAGATTTTTCTCTTATCCAACTCTTAACAGCATACAAGGTAAGGAGAATCTAGGAAACATAATTCTTGGTTTAATAATGTTGACGCTAGAAAAAAAAATGGGATGTTCTATCTTTGAACTCAGATGAAACTGAGGCAGAAGGATTTTCATTTTAGCACAATGTAACTGTGGGAAAATAACTCTTCCCTGAATTTCTCAGGATTCCTATAAAAAAGCCTCAGGTCCCTGAAACACAGAAATATATCATATAAAGACAGAAGATTTTTTCACTTCTGTAAACATTTGGTATTTTTCTCTGATGATGGAGTTACTTGCTCCCATTAAAAAAACTAATAAACCTTCTACAATCTCCCCCAAGCAACTCCATCCTGGGGTTTAGCATTTAGGTTAATTCCAAAAGTTACTTTAGTGTTATCTAAATCCCAGAACCTTGGAGATATTCTTATGTTGTGAAAGCTAGAAATACTAGAATTATTTGGTTCTTCAAAAGAATTATTTATATATCAAAGAGCTAGAGTATGCATTCCTTCCATTAGGGCTCCAAGGAGACTCTCTTAAAAGGGGAGTGGATAAATTTGTATCTTTTCCCTTTATTAGCATGAGAAAATTAATTTTTTATCTTTCTCTTACCCATCAAATGAAATTTGACAATTGCATAAGGCCTTTCTCTCTCTGGCTTTCGTTGTGCTAAACTCATTGATTGCTGGTCATGGGGGACCCAGTTGCAATGCCAATCTGGATGTCATTTTGTAACTCAGAAAAACTTAATAAACCTTCCAGCTTCCCTTGCTTTTAGTTGACTTTAAAAATCACTAATTTGGAGGCCATGAAGCTGAGGAATCTGCACCTTAATTTGGGGTCTGATTTCTGTTTAACTCTGCTATGTTAATCATTTAAGGAATGTGTTGTCTGAAGCCAGTAACACAAGATTGACTGCCCCTAGATTTACCCAA